CTCCTTAAATCTAAATCTACTGTAACAAGCGCTCCTGGGGATCTGGAAGAATCACCCATTAAAATGCAGATCCTGGTTCAAATTCTCTCTGATGCTGTCTGGGGTGGATAGGAATCGTCTCAGCAGGAGGCCCAACTAGAATGAACTGGTTTGAAACCCTGGTTAAAACTCGTCAATGACTTTCTTCGAATAAATAAACAAACAAACAAACAACTCTTATTGAATTAGGTGAAGTTCTGCACAGCCACTCTTCGGTTTTACAGTCACCGATGCGCTTACATTTTGTTTCAACACCTCCACTGCCGTCTCCTCCTGGCCTGTCTCACTTCCTGCTTCTCCTGTTTTTATTCCTCCCTCTTTCCTAACCTCTGACTGTTGTCCTTGGTCAATGTGGCCCTTTGGACCTCTGATGGTCGATTATTCTAACGGGGTGAATTCAGTTCCAGATCTAAAGGGTGCCTCAGGGTCACAGTCTTGAGGGTCCTAGCAGTCTCTGTCTCACCAGTAAGCCCTGTCTCTCTGCTGACTTTTGAGTTCCGTTCCATATTGTTCTCCCACTCTATCCGGGTCTTCTGATGTGATCTTCTTCAGAACAGTTGGTAGTGGCAACCGGTCACCATCTAGTTACTCCGATCTCAGGGGTGAAGAGACTGGTGCTCGGTGGTCCATTCGTCCATTTGGGCCAGGGGAGACCGAATAGCTGCACCTCAGAGAGCTACTTCATGAGCTTTTAAAACCCTTGTTGCCGCTCACCTGTCGTCATGAACTACGGTCTATCAGTTGACCTTCATGCCTCCCAAAGCTATGCTCCTGCTTCCCCAGGCTCAGCAACTCATTCTCTCGAGAGGTTTGGCTTGGTTATGTCTAAAAGAACTTTCATCACATTGTTACCACATTCACGAATAGGTTTCCAGCAAAGGCAAGTGCACACTTACAAATATCCTCTGTTGAACTTTTATATACTCCTGGGTACACTCCACTCGCACTCCCACACCTGCTCAGCCGGTGTGTCTATCCGAGCATCTGCTGGTAGACCACCCCTATCGCAGGATTGTGTCTGTACCGGTATTCGCTTCCGTTGGCTTTCACAAGTGCGAACCTCTAGTGGCCCCCTTCGTTTTCCGCCAAGCTCCTTCTTATTGGGAGTTACCTTCCCCTTCACTACTTGCAAATCCATGGTAGAGTTTGATTTTGGTTTTGCTCACCTTGTGAACCAAACTACTCCAGGGAGCTTCCTACACATCCCTTCTATTCAGCAAGGCCTCCAGAGGAGGGGCAGTCACAGTGAAAGCAACACTAATAAAAAACCCCACATACTTTTTTTGGAGCTCTCCCCATCCAAATAACAAGAACGGTTTGGCAGTCTGTTTCTGTAAAGAAAACCGTATGGAGTAGTTCTTGGTAACACACGGGGTTGCCATTAAGTTCAAATCCACTGGAAGGCACCCAGTGACCGGTGCCTCCAAATATCCACTAGAGGGCAACATTTGCCGTACTATTCCATCTACTAGGTTTTCAAAATGGTTTCACGTTTGTTTTCATATTTTGTCAGGTAGGACTTGATTACACTACTTTAACGTACCTCATTTCTTTTAGTTCTTTTTAAAATCATTTTATTTGGGGCTCATGCAACTCTTATCACAATCCATAAATCCATCCATTGTGTCAAGCACGTTTGTACATTTGTTGCCATGATTTTCAAAAACATTTTTTCTACTTAAGCTCTTGGCATCGTCTCCCCTCCCACGCTTGGTAACCATCAAAGAATGTTTCTTTCAGTGTAAAAACCCTGTTCTTGACTTTCCATAAGCGTGGTCTCATGCAGTATTTGTCCGTTGGTGTTTGGCTTCTTTCACTCAACGTAACATCCTCCAGGTTCATCCACGCTATGAGGTGTTTCTCAGATCCATTGTTATTCTGTAACGTTGTGTAGTAGTTCACTCTGTGTGTGTGTCCATTCTTCCACTGATGGGCAGTTAGGTTGTTTACATCTTTTTGCAATTGTGAACAGGGCTGCAGAGACTTTGAGTCAACAGCATTTTGTGAGGTGGAGGACTTTGTGGACTGGTGTTGGGTTAATGGGTTAATGTTGGACTTGTGGGCTTGGGCAGCATTGGGTTGGGATGTTTTCGTGATGCACATTTTCGTTACATAAAACTCTCTCTTATACATGAGTTGCTGTGGATTTGTTTCTCCAAAGTATCTAGACTAATACAGTCTCCTAGTTCTTTCCTCTATTTCCTTTTACTTTCTCTTGTCCCACTATCATGCTCAGCCTTCATTTGGGCTTTGGGCTTCAGTAATTCCTCTCGGTTACAATGTCCTTTATCAAGCCCTACCAGGCCTCCTACACCCTCCTTGCCATTGATTTTAGATCATTTGTTGTTCCCTTGTCCGTGGGTTTGTTAACACCCACTTCCTTTCTGCCGCCTCCTCCTCTCCCATGCCCCTCTAGAACCATCAGCCCATTGTTTTCTCCTCCAGGTTGTTTGTCCCGCCTATCTTATCTAGGTAGACATGCAGAGATAATAATATGCACAAAAAGAAGACAGAGCAAAACAAAGCAACAAAAGAAAACAAAACAACAATAACAACAAAAAAATGCTTATAAATAGTTCAAGTTCTGCTTGTTGACCTTTATGAGTATTTTCCGGTTGAGTCTGATGGGATTCTAGGTCAAGGGCCCAAAGTCTATTTTTGGTTTTCCCTCAGGACTTCCTTGCGGTTCTGTTGCACACCCTTAGTGTTTCGCCTCAGTGTGATGGGATCAGATCAGGCACAATTCCAGCACTGTGTCTCCAGTGCTGTCCCCTGTAGGGCTATGGGTCAGTGAGGGACATCGTGTCTCATAGTGGGGCCAGCCATATGGCCCTCTCTGTGCATTGGTTGCTCTGAGCAGGGATATCATCCTCAGGGCTTGGTGGGCCAGGATGTGCTGCACTCTCTCCCTCCCCCTTTGTATGTTTGCTCCTGTGTGCTGTGATCAGACATGTCCCTCTCCCTGAGCTGTAGCTTCAGTGCTGTCCTCTGAAGTGAATTCTGGGGGGAAGAGGGGAGCTTTCTACGTTGTTAGGATTGGGGCCAGTCCCCAGTACCTCACTTCTAAAAGACTTAAGAGATCGCATTCTCCTTGGATAACTTGTTCTCTAGGCTCTTCGGTCCAGTGACTCCAGCTTTGACTCGGGTCCCAGGTTTCACCATGAGGGGGCAATATTGCATAAACTAAAACCCATGGCAAGGGGGGGAAATAGGCGACATGGCCTGAGAGCGAGCTGTTTCAAGGGGGTGGGGGGAAGGGCCATTAATTTAAGAAGGAAAGAGACAAATCAGACACTTCTAGTTCGTATCCCACTCGAGGTCAGACCAGTGTGAGATGCAGCACAGAGAAGCCACTCAGCAGACGGGAGGCTGACTTGGGGGCCGGGCACAATCAGCTCTCCTTCGGGGTTCCCCTGGAGGGGACCCAAATGCCTGGGCGCGCGCGTGTAGCGAGTTAAAGGCTGTGTGTGATGGATGAGGTGCAGCGGGTACGCGCTCCGGCCCCGATACAGGCTTCGGACCGTGCCGCGTGGACAAAGGGACTCCACATTCACACTCCGAGAGGTGATCCCGGCAGGCCGACCTCGCTGTGTCTGTAACAACCCTCACACGGACGCACCGGAGAACAATCGGCATTCCGCAGAGAACTCCGTCCTGAAAAGGTCAGAAGGTGGGCGGGCGGTCCCCACCCAGCAGGCCCCCAGGGTGAAGTCCTGGCGATCTGCTCCCAGAAGGATTACCCTCCCCCTCCCCCCGAAGACCCCACGGGGCAGTTCTAAGCTGTACTTCTTTAAAAAAAAAATTTTTTTTTTAATCCAAGACAAGTACTTAACCTTAGAGGAATCACAGGTCTTTTGGGGGGTTTGACCAAACGTTGTGGAGCTTTTGTCCTACAATCACGTTCGGGGAACCGTGTGTTGATCTCAAAGGGAGAGCTGGTGCGTCTCGGGAGCCTGTCAGGGTGGCAAGTTAAGAAATTCTGTTCTAAGCAGTCCGACTGGCAACTTTCAAGAAAACCAGCCGGACGTGAAAGCGAAGCGACGGCGTCCCTGCCGCCTCCAATCACAAATGGATTTCCCCCTCCGAGAACAGGAGGGGCTTCGCAGGAAGAGGAGGGGAGAGGGGGCGCGCCCCGCACAGCGCCCCAGGCCCGCCCTGGATGCGCAGCCGGCGGTCGGTGGTCTCTTGCAGGGGGGTTTCGGGAGGGCGACGGCAAGGAGCCGGAGCACCGTGGCTTTTTCTCCACCCTGTTCTTTATACCGTCGGCTCCACTGCCTGAGGTTTCGACCCTTCCTTTCGGGTCTCCGAGCCTTCCCCTCCTCCTCCCGCGTCTCCCCTCCGCCCGACCCTCGGCCTCCAGCCCCGCCCCCGCCGCCGCGGGGTTTCACCGCCGCCGGAGTGGAATCTGCATAGTGACCTCCCCTCCAGGAGATCATTGGTGCAGCCCTTGTCCGTCACGGCTGGTGATTGGTGAGCCGGGCGGGGTCATTTGCATGCGGCCTCAGCCGGGTACCCAGCTGTGCCAGAGGCCGGCTCGGCGCAGAAGTTTGTCCTGCGCTTTCTGGAACCGGCTGCCCGGGACTCGACGCTGCGCGCGGCGCCGTCGCCGCCGCCCTGCCCTCTCGGGAGTCCGTCCCTGAGGAGGACCGCGGGACGCTCTGCTCTCGGGAAGTTGAGGTGCACAAGAGGGGCGGCGGCGGAAAGCGGCGGGGGCCG